TAAATAAAACACTATTACAGATGTAAAACAAAGTAGGAAACTCTCAGACCTTAAAAGCTACTATATAGCCCTGGCAATCTGATCAGCCTGGTACTAGTACAACGATAGAGATGAAGATAAAAGGATTAGAATTAAAAAACTAGAAAACCCAGAAATAAAACCAAGTACCTATGGACACCTCATTTTTGGTAAAGAGCTAAAACACTTTAAATGGGCAAGAGTTTTTTCAACAAATTGTGAACATTGGAAAAACTGGATCTTCACTGGCACAAGAATGAAACAAGACCCATAAATCATACTAGTACAAAACCAAAATCAAGATGGACCAAAGACCTGAGTATAAATTACACAAGTAGTAAGGCCATCAATGAAAAAACAGGGCCAAATTAAAGATCTTAATACAAAGCATAACCCACTATTGAACATAATGGAAATATACCCACTATAGAAGACAAAATAAAGAACTGGGACTTACTAAAAATATGATATCTATACACAACAAAATACTTCATTAAAGTAGCCAGCAGAGAAACCATAGATTGGGAAAAATATTCAGTACTAATATGTCAGAAAAAAAGATAGCCTTCAAGATCTATAGAAAACTACAAAATCTGAACAAGAAGAATACAAATAATCCAATAAAAAATGGGCACCAGACATGAATAGCCAATTTACCAAAGACGATGTACAGGCAGCAAACAATTCCATGAAGATATGTTTGCAAATGTTTGTGAAATGTTAGTGAAATCAGTAGAATTTTTTGCCCCATTGTCGTGCCTTCTATAGCTTTAGTACTTTTCATTAACTGTTTCATTAACATATAATTTACATATCATATAATTCAATAGGTCAATAAGATTAAAAAGAGTTGTGTAATCATCAATACAATCTGTTTTAGGACATTTTATTCTTTCTTGTACTCATTATTTTTGTTTGTTTCTAAACTTGGAACTTCATCCACATATAAATTCAATAGTTCAAGCATATCATGAAGAGTCTTATACTCATTGCTGTTAGCTCTTCATTACCCTCTGACCTCCCCTGCCATGCCTCTATGAAACTGTTAATCCAGTTTTCATCTTTATAGATGTAGTAGCTACATAATTTCATGCCAACTTGAAGATATATAAAAGATATATATTGGCATTACACCTGTCAATCAGGTCACAGTCTGATGGTGCCTCCTTGTGAGCATGCCCTTCTCATAAGGAGGGCCCTGAGAACCTCCTCTTCTCTCACGCTCTGCCTTCACCTTCCTGCTGGTCAACCCTGGTTGCAGCCATACCCCTGTTATGTTACTCCACATTGGATCCGCACCACTTTGCACCCACCAGCCTGTGATAATCCTTGCATTCTGCATCAATGCATGTGGTTATGTGAGTTTGAAGAGGGACTAATGGATTGGTAATGGACTTGTGGACTTGAGTTGAACTGGGCCTGGGATGTTTTCTCAGTATATAATTACTTCTTGAAATAAGGCTCTTTCTTAAACATGTATGAGTATCACTGGATTTGTTTCTCTAGTCAAGTAGGCCTGACAAAATAGAGTTACCTATCTTAGATTTTATGTACAGAAAAATATACAAAACAAAAACAAAGCAAACAAACCCAACAACGACAAAATAAAACGGAAAATTTTCAAGAGAAAAGAATGCAGAAAATATTAAAAGCTGGAACAAATACATGGCTCAAAAAGGAAATCAAATGACAAGGTGTCATGTTTTAACCTAAATACATCTGCAGTAGCCCATTCTTCAATGGAAACTGTCTGCTACAAAGCCATTCACATCTTTGGTTCTCTGGTCCATAGTCAGGGTGGACACAATGGACACGTACTCTATGTGGGGACCCTGTATATGGATTTGGGGCTTTGTCATCCATCGTTTTGTCCAACTGGGTGTTCAGAATTTAAGCTCCAATACTGTTCTCTCTTCCAGACATGGATTGCATTATTTACAATCCTTGAATCACACCGGGGTTTGCTTCATCTGTGTGGACTTAGCTGACTCCTCACTTAGTGCCTGCTTGTTTTAAGGTAAGCCTTTAAGATCCAAGGCACTATTCTTTCCGATAATTGGGCAGCATCTGATTTTTTTCATTAAATTTTTGCTGTAGCACCCATATCTTCAGTGATCTCCTCATAAGGGTAAAGATTGGACAGGGCCATGTCGTAAGAATTAATTATTCTCAAATTAAGGATATGATCAAGTGGGAGCTCAAAATCCATGTATCTATGCTTTATATATGCCCATAGTTTACTTCAGAAATATCATCATTATTTTATTGGAGAACATTATAAATCATCCCCAGGGGCATATGATAATTCTATTGATATTATCATTAATTTAGCCAGTGGTACAGAATTTAAAACACTGTTGAAAAAAGGTAAGTATACCTGTATAAGACCGTGTTTCACACCAAAATACATGGACCATTGATTTTTACCGATTAACATCTTAAGTAAGTAGATACTACGTGCACAAGCAACGAGGGCTGGAACTAGGGGAAAGCTTTCAACAACATTCATTCACAAAGGCAGAACTAAGACGTGGCATCCAAAAGCAGAGCGTGTGTGAAAACAGCAAATACAGGGTCATCTTTGTTGCCATTTAGTGAGCACTCTCAAAGCAAGCGATTTGACCAACATCCGGTGACTTAGTGGAATGAGGACATTGAAAATAAACAAAAGAAATGGCCTTCCTTAATGTCGTTAGAGAGGAAGAAGTGTGGACCAGGAGGAAAGAGTCCGCGCAGACTGCAGGACACGCGCCCATCATTGTTGCTTCTGTCCTTTCACCGCAGGGGCTCCTCGGGGACCCCCTTTGGGTTCTACATGCATTTCTGGAGCTCAGTTTGGGTTTCCCTGACATTGCTGCTTCTAGCTTTCTTCTTTGATCTTAAACATTAAAGCGTTCACTCAAATGATGTCAGATTCTGGAAATGCTTTAAATATCTTCTCAGCTCCTCAGCATATAAAAGAAGAAGTAGCTATGGAAGCTCATCTGAGGCAGGTGCTAAAAGTGAACCTTCTATGATTTATTTAAATGACATTAATATCAAATTTTTAAAAATCATGAAAATTGTGTTTTGTATGTAAATTTCATTCTATCTTTTATTAGAAGCGACAGGGAAATAGTTAACCAATGTTGTCCCTATTGAGCCATCTTTTCTTTACCTACTTGCCAGTGATTGAATTCAGCATGCACTCCATGGCAGTGGGTGTGGTTGTTTGGTTATGTACTGTGCTGCTGTGCTGCTCCTGTATCTGTCGTGTGTGTGTGTGTGTGTGTGTGTGTGTGTGTGTGTGTGTG